TCCTCAACACAACCCAAGCACCCAATTTGGGACGGGGCCCCTGGTGCAGATAAGGGGTCGAGGTAGCGGAATGTTTCGCAGGCGTAAGGACGGGATGGTAGATACCAGGGGGCCCATTGACTGCGCTTCACTATGCCTACTGATCATTAATACGATAGATAATAATCTTGATAATAGTAATAAAAATAATTATGTTTTATTAACCATTTTTATAATTTATTTATCATTTTATTTATGTGATCAGTGGCATAACGGACATGTGCGCCCCGGGAGAGACGGAAGCATAACCGGCAGTGGTGTGCCGCAGCGAAATGTCTGGCCAGCCGTGTGTAGCGGGATAAGGCTGCGGCAATGCTTGCAATTGCTTGCGGGGTCAGATGGCCAATGCACGACCGACGGCCTCTGATCTGTCCTTCCGTACGCCGTCACGAGGGAGCAGTCTGTGTTATGTGTAAGGCTGCCAAGTGAAGTCGATGGGCGAAACGGAATTTTGTATACCGATCCTCCAATGTGCCTGTCGGCGCGCCGTTTGGCATCCAAGGCCGATTTGCGTACCTCGTAACGCCCACACTGGCGGGTGGTGGCCAAGTGCGTCCCATGCTTGTGTACGACAGTAAGATTCCAATTCTTACGACGGCTTTCGACGTTAGTACTTCATCACGCCAACGATATTTTTCGTGAACGGATACGTCTATTTTATTTCGCTGGCTAAAACATAAAGTTCCCTTCACTTTGGACTGCTCATTATCAGAAGCCGCTGGCAACACAGTTGTTTATGTTCTTCTAATATTCCTCGGTTTATGTTCCTTTGATATCGCAGGGTATGCGGCGTATCAGGATCACTGTGGGCCCGTCTCCCCGGGCAGCATAAAGCCACCAAATTATCCATATCCGTAGCTGGCCTCTCTAGCAGTAGCTGTTCTGACCGACCCACGGGTCACACGACATCGACGTAACGCCCTCCCACAGCGCGGGTCGCCTCGCCGACCTATCCGTCGCCTCCACGACACTCTCACATACAAACAAACATATTTACGTACTTAGATTGCAACATAAACCCCGGACGTCAGATCTTTCTACGGCATTTTTCTGCGCAGCCGCAGCCTCCGCAGCCCCCACCTCCACAGTCACTTCCACAACCATTCCTCGTCTGGTTATTTTGCTGATTAATCTTGACTGATAGGAAGCTCTTGAATCCACATCGTAGGCAGAGCTGGGGCAGTAAACCCAGGGGTTTCTGTACCGCTGCGCCTAATCTGTAAGTGCCCCCCGAGGCCCATGGGTCTATCACGACGCCTTGTACGACCTCTTCGTGGCATAGTCCGTGCGGAGGCGGTGGTGGGCGCGGGCGTGGGTGTGCGTAACCCGGCACGCCGGCCCGCCCGCATGACAGTTTCGACATCGGCCCTAGCGCTCTGTGCTGCGGTGCTCACCGCCATTGGTACGGCAGCGTGGCTGGTATTACTGGGCGTAGCTAGCCCGCCGGCAGCGAACGGCTTTGTGCCCTGGGACTTAACCAATTTTCAGAACGAGTACGCCTGTGACAACACTACGGTTCGGATTGTGCGGTGAGGCGAGGCATTGGTGGGCGCCGAATCCGATTAGAAAAGTATTGGCTGCAGAAATTCTTCAAAGTCTGTATGTATAGACAGTTACAAGTTATATTGAGTTACTTAAGAATAGACATGTTTAGAATATTATAGAAAGTGAGCATAGGATAGGGCTGGCCCCGAAAACCCAATACTCAGAATCCGTGATCTGCATTACCACCAGGCCGCGAACGGTACAGCAGGTTCAGGCGGCTGTTCGCCGTCACAGCAACATTATCGCAGTTGGCGGCGGATGGTCTTGGAACAGGTAGGGAGATGCGCTGCAAGTGCTGCACAACATCCGTCCCTTGAGGGGATAACAATGAACTGCGTTATTTTCTATTACGACTATTACTACTGTTATTATTCATCATTTTGTTATATATAATTAATATTAATATTATTACAATTGCAATCATTGTGTGAATGATTGGGATCCGATCAGATCACCACCACCGTAGTGCTGCCTGAATGCCGTACTAGAGCCGTACTACGCCCACGGCACGGGCAGCTTTCGTTAGTAATCCGCGGGAGGTCGGGCGACTTCGCCCAATCCAGAGCAATGTGTTTCATAACGATTTTACGTGAGCGTTACGACGTTCCGGCTATCGTCTCAATGGGCGGGTTACTCCGTCGTGGGAGCCGTACACGAATGGTGTGGACCCCGCGTTTGCCAAATCACGCGAGGCAAACGCGCAAAATAAATTATTATGTTCCATGTGTCATATATATACTAGTATTACTATGATGCTTCCTGTTTCCTTTACCGAAGGGAAGTTATTTAGTAAATAATTTTGGCTTCATCTTTGGGGGTGGTCACGCCGGTGCAGTAGCCGATGCTGGCTAATGCTGGCCATTGCCTTTGGGGGCCCACCGAACACGCAACCGTATAACACCCACATGACGAATACCCGCACCTGTCGCCGCGTGTGGCCGCAGGGCTTCTTTTGCGCCAGCAACGGCTCGGCCCCCTTCACTCCGGATGGATATAGGTGGGTTAATTCGAGCGCCAGTAACGGCCACAACGGCAGCAGCAACAGCGGTTACGGCGTGCTGAGCAACTGGAGGAGCTCGCCGGCGCCCAACGGCCCGGCTAACATTGTGATGCAAACGATGAGGCCTTTGCGGATTGAGGTCAACGAGACAGAGGAGAGCGTCACCGTGGATGCGGGTGTGTGTGCGTGGGATGGGCATTGGCATTGATGTTGTCCGTTTGCGTCCCGAGCGCGGCTTAAAAGAGCTCCTGAATGGTAGTATTGCGTAGTAAACTACAGAACATTTCCCGTTTTTGTTCTGGGAAATTTCTCCGAGGATTTATTTCCGGCACATTTTGAACAGGATATGCGTGTGCGTGTGTATGTATGTATGTATGTGTGTGTGTTACACCTCGGTTGCATGACCCAGAGAGGTGTAACGAGCCCACCCATATGGATACATGCGAATGTGTTCCCGAGAGTTCCTCTGAGGGCGGCTGCAACCTGACCGAATGGTCTACAAAGTTCGAAATAATGATTAATCCGAAAGGTCCGAAAAGCCATGCCATGCCTGTCTGCCTTTCCCGCATGCCAGACCCTCTGTCTCGGCGGCCACAGAAACCCCCACTAAGATATCTCCCGTATCCTCTCTCCCCTCTCTTTCCCCTCTTCCTCCCGCTGGAATTGCTTCCACGACCTCGCTGTCCTCGTATAGCTTACCCATGAAGTCAGGGTCCGTGTGCGTGTGTGTGCGTGTGTGCTGTGTGCATCAATACTGTGTATGTTTTGGTGTCATCCCTGCACTGTGCAGGCATCCGAACGATTGACCTGCTGCGCTATCTGGCGGCGTACGTCACCCCATCCGCCCCAGCGGGGTGGACTCTCCCCGCCTTCCCGTGGTTCGTGTTTCAAACCCTGGGGGGTGCCGTATCCACAAACACACACGGTAGTAGCCTCAAGCACAGCTCCTTGTCCAGCCAGGTAGGAGATCTCAGAGGCGGATACGTGGGGTGTTAGTAGAGGGGGAGGGCGATTTGGTCGCGTTGGGCAGCTTCTCCGGAGCGGATGGAGGAGTGTCCTGGCTGTGGAGACGCTTGACGATGATGTGGAGAATGTTGGGATCTGTGCTTCGATTTGTGGTGGTAGGTAAGGTAGGGTGGCGCACCGGTAAACCCAACCCCGGGGGGCGAATCCTATCCAATCCTATGGCATCCTGTCTACAGCCGTACTAACCACCAACCTCCAACCCCCCTAACCTCCCAACCTCTACCTGCCAGGTGCTTGCGCTGACAATGGTGTTGGCGTTGAAAGTGCGGAGTTGAAAATGTCCAATTGTGACCCAACAAAATTGGCAACCTTGACCCGGGCGATCAAGTTAGTTAATGCTTCCTTTTCTTCCAATATCCCGCGCTTTACGTTTCCCTCGGGACCTCCATTGCATCTTTGTCTTTTTTTCTCTTTTCTTAATTCTTCCTTCCCTCCGATTTCCCCTTCCTCCGCTTCACAGCACACACACCCTCTTCCATTTTCGCCGTCCGATCCCAGGCGGTCCGTGTGGGTGTGGGAAAACTGGGCATCATCACGCACATCAAGTTCCGCATCATGCGTGAGGTGCGTCAGGCGGGTCGTTGGTGCAGGCTGCACACTTTTCGGCGGGTCGGTGCTGGCCGGGTACCTTGGATGCTTGAGAGGGTCTTTGCGTCAGTGGGGAATATCTGGAAAGAGCTCGGCGGGTCGGCGGGTCGGCGGGTCGGCGGGTCGCAAGGACGGCCGCCGCCGGAGCCGCCGTTTTCTTTTTCACTTCCAAACGCCAGGTTTCGGAAACAGCACTACGTACCGATCAAGCACGTATCGCGCGAGGACTGCTGCAAGCCAAAACCAACTAACCGTAACCCCCTGAGAACAACAATGACATGTACTGACACCTACGAGTCGAAACAGCGAAGCAGTGTCAAAAGCCGCCGATAGACCGGACGATGCCCGAACTACCGCATCCACCACCGAAACAACAAAAACACCGCAAATGCAGGTACCCGTCACCCGTACCATTCGGCGACTGACCTCCACTGAGTTTTTGGAGCTGTTGAGATCCGCTCAAGATCAGTGGAACACCAACGGCTCACTGCCTGAGTGGATGGACGAGACGGAATGGTTCTGGGTACCGCAACGACATGAGGTACGACAACTGGTCAATCTGGGACTTGTGGAACATTGCGGTTGGGGAGGATGGTCTACTTTTTAGGTGAATAAGACTCCGTGCTTTGAGCATTGCCCCGCAGGCAGGTGCCACTGCCGTGATCCGCTAACTGCCGTCGTGCACCTCTCCCATCGCCTTTATTGCCTCGAGTCCAGTTCTTGATGGTCACGTTCACGAGGGGCGATAGCTCTGACGCCGCAAAGCGACTTGAAGCTCTCCGGGGTTATGCACTTGCCGGCCCGGAAAACACGACCGCCTACAACACATCCTTGGCTTTGCTGGAGCAAGCGAAGGACCTGCGCAACGTGACCGTCGATGGTGGGCGCAACCCTCCCTTGGGGCAACAAGGAAACAGCCTTTATTCCCGTACCTTCAAAACACAATCCAGGTTTTTGCCTGATGATGTATTGGGTAAAATGTTTATTTTCCGCATTTTGGAAATGCGGGCGTTCTGGTAGCGGTGTTTTGGGGCTCGTCTGGGACCCTCTGGACTTCTCAACCTGCCTCCTTCCCTGCAGTTTTCCCGCTGCTGGCCAACGTCACTTTCGACCCCGTCACCAACATCGCCGACATCGCGCTGCCAGTCCTACGCCAACTGAACGACACTGTCCTTAACGTGCCTTGGCAGCAGGCCCCCGCCGCCGGCGCCGGCGCAGGTGCCGTACCCACCGGCAGCGACGCCGGCAGAAGCGCGGCCGCTGCTGATAAGTCGTCGCCTGCAGTAGCCGCCATGGCTGGTCCAACCACTCCGGCGCCGCGGCCGTCAGCGCCGCGGGTATCGCGGCCGTCAGCCAGCCTCGATGCCTTGATAGCGGCAGTGGCGGCGAGCCGATTGCCAAAGCCGGCCGATAATGTGTCGACGCCAGCAAATGCGACGACGGATACGAATGCGTCAATGGCAGTGAATGCGACGGCGCCAGCGGCGACGCCAACACCCACTGAAGAGCCTGAGGTGGTGGCGGCGGGGACCGTGACGGCCGTGCCGCTACCCCCGACATCACCGTCGACGTCGTCAGGACCAGGCATTATTGACGGAGCGGCTCCGGCCGCCAAAGATCCATCGAAGGTGTCCTCGCCTGACACGAATTCTCAAAATGGGATGGTTAGTTTGTTCCGGGCGCGAAGCGACCCCACTGCCAGTAAGGCAACGAGCCGCCAGCGGTCGACAATTAATGGTAGCGGCGCGAGCACGGCTTCGTTGAACGAGGCGGGGGAGGGCGAGGTCTGGAGCATTCCGCAACGGCGGCCTGCGACGGGTAGGTGATGCGAAACCAATGATGTTACCTAAAATAAATAAAAGGTAAACTGCAAAGATCTAGAAAATATAAAGCTGTAAGAACGGAAATCAGGCAGCTACATGTCAGCAGCAGCTGGCGCTGTTAAAAGCAGATTCGCCCTTAAGAGGCCTAGTAGGAAGTTTCCCCAACGTTCCCTTAACCAACCTCTGATCTTCGAAGCATCCACTCTTCCCACACACACGTCCTTGGCGCAGTGTTCTATGGCCTTGCAAACATGGCCGATGCCTACATCGACATTTCGCGCAGCGGGGTGTATTCGGTCGCCGCCAACGCAACGAAGGAGTCCCAGAGCTCGTATCTGTTTCAGCCTGAGGTGCGATTATGCACACACCGCGAAGTCTTCTTATTATTTCCCAGCGAATCCTTTTTGGTCCATTTTTATATTTCCCTTACAAGTAAGAGGAGGATTACTAGATGTCCTTCTAAATGTTTTGGGGCGGCCACCCAAACCTGTGCTGTGCTGTGCTGTGCTGCTGCACGGGAATTAGATATGCCAAAACTCTAAAACCCTAAGCCCCGGTATTCTAAGTGTTTGTTACGTGTGCTGGAAGGGATTGAACGGAGTTTCGTACTGGTCCCCTTTCGTAACGCTAACTTGACCATGGAAACGGGACCTGTAGTTCTAACGCCCCCGTCGTTGCGTGTCTGCTTGCTGCCGTGTCAATTGTTTTGCTGATGCACGAACTGTACTGCAACCTTGGCAGTCCATTTTGGAGATCAACATTCGCCGGGTTACGTACGACCAGGTGGGTGGGTCGGTGGGGTCGGCATTTAGATAATTTAAAAGGTTGGATCTTGGGTTTTAGGGTTTTAGGGTTTTGGATCAAATTTCAGATACGAAATATCCGAATGGCAAGTTTGGGAAGCCTTCCCTCTGTTTTCATCAATTTACCTAGTCTGGTGCCCGCCTGATATCTTCCTGGCATGTCCTCGTTTATAAAGAGGAGGCTGTCTGAGCATTGTAAGCTAAAGCTTATTATGCTGCCTGAGCATAAGCTTATGCTTTAGCTTATTATGCTCAGACAACCCGACTCTTTCCTCGCTTGTGTGTGTGTAGTCCTTTCCTGTTGTGTAACTCCGAAATTGGCTGGTGCCTTGATGTTTCCTGATCCCCGCCGTACGATTGTACTGCAGTTAGAAGTCGCCATGCCGGTCTCCAGTATGGCCGACTGCTGGAAAGGCCTGTTGGAGCTTCTGTACGGCGCCGACAACCTGGATGGTACGGAGTACAACGGAACCGCATCACCGCTCAGCATCATTTCCAAATCAGGCAACAATACAAACGGTACATCGCTCATCGGCCCCGATGGCCGCCCTGACTACGGGTTTCGGAGTAACCCCCTGGTCCGTACGACGGGCAATGAAGACGGACTCCTCAGCCCCTCAGGCGGTCAACCGCATATGTGGCTCAACATTGAGGACTACCTGTACTACAACAGGTTCGTACATACTTGCAGATGCCGTAACACCGTTTGTCTTGGAGGGTTGAAGAACTTTACATACCGGAATCCACGCCTGGCTTAAATGTCAAGTCTTGTACGACCTTGTACGATCTCGAACGAGCTTGGACGAGCTTGGACGAGCACGAACCGGGGGGGAATACGCGTCAGTGCTACCCCTGGTACCTTGCTGTGTGTTTGCCCTGATGCTGCAAGGTGATGCAATTTCTGAATCCATCCCCACACTTCCAATCCGAGTCGAACAATTCAAGTTGGTCCTTGGTTGCACATCTGGTTTGCTTCTACAGCAAGCGTTCCTAGAGGTGGAAATAGCCGGTAGCGCTCTTGTTCTTGTGCTCTGTCAAGCGGTGCGTGCGAGAAGAATATTGTGATAAGCAACCTGCTTACGTCCGTACGTCTGTATGTGCGTACATACGTTCGTACATACGTACGTATGCAGGCCAATGCGGCGAACGAACGTTGTGTTCAAGGCCTTGGTCGGTTATCTGCGCAGCGACCCCCGGTGCGGGAAAGCCGGTCTGTCGGGCGCAGGTGCCCGGCTGCACTGGGGCAAATCCGGTGAGGCCTTTGGTTTGCCTGTATGTCTGTATGCAACACAGGTCGGGGGGGCCAGGGGGCTAGGTGACACGGTCGCCACTGGAAAGGAAGAGACGTGCGGTGTCCATGTTTACAATAACTGGTTGGGGGAAACTAGGGGGATAGTTGTAGTACCCTGGGAATCACGGGATCTGTCATCCGCCGGTCGGTTCTCTCCTGCAAAAAGACGTGATACAACAGGGTAGAAGTTGGGAGGGGACCCGTTACTGCAGTAAGCAGTTGGGTAGTAGTAGCCGGTATTACAGCGAGCCTCAGACCAGGCCCGTGTAGGGAAGGGAAAAAAGGTCATGTTATTAACGTCGTCAAGTTGTGGGATAGGAGGAGCCTGTTCTTTTATTTCTGAATTAAGCATTGGACGAGCCTGTTGTAAGTATGTAGATCGGCATAGAAGTGTCAGTCCGCCATGTGGCAGTGTCGACCCGTCGTGGTGCTGTATGTATATCGGCACCGAGCCTAAACCCTAGGGAGCTAGGAATCGGTTTTAAATGATTATGCTGCAAAGCGAATATCGCAGCAATTAGTCTTTGTTCCGGACGTGTACGACAGGTTGGCCTGACGCGGGCTGCTGGCACGGCGACAAAGAGTATCCGGACACTTGGTGCGACTTCGGATGTGTTGTACGGCAGCTTGATCCACATGGTACGCGGGGAGCAACAAAGCTATGTAGCAAGTGTGTGTGTGTGGCTATGTAGAAGCACGCAGTGTGTAGGAAGTATGTATGTGTGTGTGCGATAGCTCCGTTCGCATCCGTTCGTGGCTGCCGTCCGGGTCTAATATGTCTGTGTTGAATTGGTGCCGCACACGTGTACGCGAATCACTCGTCGTCTTCCCGCGGGATATCGCTTCGCCGCCTGACTGTGCAATGATACCCTACTGAAACTCAACAAAACCGGCAGAACCCTCTACTCCCACTTGGCGCGCCGCTGCCTCCCGTCCTAAACAGGCAAGTTCCGAGATTCGGCCCCAGACCGTTGGAACTGGAACGGAGTCAACTTGGAGCGCTGCTGTATGCCGGATCGCGGCTTCCTGCGGCCGGAGGAGGATCCGAAATGTGTGTGCAAGGTGACTCAACCCCGTGCGGCAGAGACTTGCCCGCCGCCGCCGTACTACACCTATAGGTAGACAACACCTGTACCCCAATGGTATATGACCACCATGACCACCACAGCGCCGAGGAGACGTCACATACCTAGCACCTAGTACCTAGTGGACGGTATCACCGACGATTGGGTTTTAGGGTTTCAGGGTTTTATGTGGTGTTCGGGTTGAAGATTTCGGTATTGGGACGTGTCTCTGTCTCTGTCGTGTTGTTATTCCTAACCATTTCTGATGCACACGTCCACTGCTCGGTGCTCTCTTGACTAATTTAGGATTTGGGACCACTGCGTTTTGGCCGGCCTGATTACTTATTAGTTCTGGAGCAGGCACTCATTTTACTCTTTAAGAGCGGGGGTTGTGCGGTGTTGTGTACAGCATCGCGCAGCCATCCGCTTTATTGTAAATGTGAAGACCTTGTTGTTATAGTCATTGCGGTATCCTACCTCGGTATTACATCAATCGTTATCCCGCCCAGCTCCATCAGCCGCGTCCGAAGATCATTACGTGAGAGACGTAGTGGAGATTGGATTGGACGGTTCTGGAATGTTCGTGTTTTACGTATCAGAGGGATGCAAGCGGGTTAGATGCGAGATGGGATTCGGTCACGGGAATGCGGACAGGGGGGTTGGATCGCGGCTGGGAGATCCGGACAGCCGATGGCCAAGGGGTACCAAAGAATGTGAAAAAACTGAACAGTACTCTATCCCTCGGTAAGGTTTCGGTAAGGGTTTCCGTAAAGATTTTTGAGACATGTAAGGGTTCTTAAAAGATATATAAGGGTAATTTGAGTCCGCGGCAATTTTCCTTCTGAGACTTCAGTCGTCCTCTGAAAGTGGTTTATTTTAACTTTGTGTTTTAGGGTTGTATTATATCATGTATTACATCGCCCACGGTATCCTCTACGCAGCATTGCAGACCCGGTGGCTGTGTATCCCTCTAGCTAAACGGGTGTGTGGATGTGCTGTTGTATGGTATGTATGCATCGATGTACGCATGGATGTATGTATGTGTGGTTTTATGTGGGGTTGTATGTGCGTTTCGCAAGTCGAGCCTTGCTTGGAATGCCTTTGGTTTCTGGGTCAAGACGATGCAGGCGGCCACTGCCGTTGTATACCTCCATCTTCTATTTGTTACTGTCTATTACCGCGGCGACTGCTATTGCTGCTGTCGCTGTTTGCGTTCGCGGGCTTGGGGCCGCGGACTCAAAAGTGTGGTCCCTTGTTAGGGCCCGTCCGCGGGCCTCTGATTGATCTCGCAGCCAGCTCGCACCGCTCGCTCATCGGTGCGGTTCACGGGGCGCCCTGCGTGTGTTTGTCGTTTGGCTTGGCGGTCCTGGCCGAGATGGAGCTTATTCGCCGGATACCTGGTGCTCTGGACGGACTGAATGCGGAGTCAGGGTTCCTTCATTCTGCTGAACGAGCCGTCGTTTACGACCCCCTTAAAGAGGGTATACGCCCCGACACTAATACGCGAGTAGGGTGTGCCGAATTCCGCAGCCCCTTCATGACTTCAGTGAACAGTGAGGCATTCTTTTAACAGATCGGTGCTGAGAGGGAGATGGTCTCGCGCACTTCCGGGTTGGACGGCTAATTCACCTGACCAGCACGAGGACTCTTAAATAGTACAGCGGCGGTTTCCCAGGCACCGGCGTTTATTGCTCTTCCGAGTGCTTTTTGCGAAGTCGCTGCCCTTTTGCCGCCCTTTTGCTGCGAAGGAAGCCGGCATAATGGCATGTGTCGATACGCAGGAGCTGCGGGTGATGGAATTGTATCTAGGCTGCAATAAAAAAAGGATGTGCAAGAGTCCTGCAGGGCTCGAAGAAGCATCCAGCTGTTTGCACGCGTATTAGGCCTTTCGACATCTAACAAGCGAGAGAGGCCCGGTAACCAAATCCGTACACCAAAAATAAAACAACAATCGCGAACATCAAGTTTCATATATATACTAAGGCCAGTTCAAAGTTTCAGCAACCTTCACATTCAACCATAAGCGGCTTTCAAAAGTAATCAACCTCCCTACATCCTTCACGTAAACTCTCACCTGCCCACGCACACTGGCGTGCAAACACGCACGGAGGCTGCAGCTGGGTTTCGCGAGGTCGCTTTTCCAGTTTCACCGCTTACCGCATCCGCAGAGGGCTGCTGCTGGCAGCTGCACAGCACGGATCTAATACCAACCACCAATCGCGTACAGTACCAACATTTAAATCCAACGAAAAGCAACATTTTGTAAACTGTGGCCCGCCGCACAGCAATTGCTTGATGACTTCCTTGGTCATTATTCTTATTTTTCGTGGCAAATTATTCGGCTATCAAAAGTTCAGCAGCCCGCACTGCACTCACCATACAGCAAAGAAAAGCTTTCAGTAGCCACTTAGCCACCACCACACCTGCCTGCCCGGTCAGAGTTCAATGCTTTTGCGAATCCATCCTTCAATCCGGACGCCTTTCTTTTACCGCGGCGCACGTAGTACGCAAAGCCCAGGGAATGCGTCCTCCCTTCCACAGCCCTGTAGCGTAAACATGCGGCCGTGTGGTTAGCCCGGCATATGCACTTGGCGAACCGCGCGAAAGCATCTGCTTTATTGTTTTCACACACAACACAAAATTCGCGAGGACCGCGCTACCGCGGTCACCCTGGTGGTTCCGTAGTGGATCGCCCACCGCTGCTAATGGAACTGGCGATGGAGTAAACTTACCTTCTCAGCCACACGTCGCTACTTGCGCCGGGTCTGGGAGGTTCGACCCGCTTCTGCCGGGGGTCCCCATGGCCTAGTGGTGGTACGAGTGGAGATCTAGGCTCTTGGGCCTACCTCTGGATCATATGAGCTCATTAGACCGCTCTGGGTAATACAACCGAGGTGTAACACACAACACTATCAAGGTTTTGGGGTTGTTCGTTCGCCAGTCGTGGTTATGTTTCTTGATCCATTTGTCGCGGGGCAGGCCAGCCGACCCTTTTGTTCCCCAATAATTTAACCTCCGAGCTTCATGCTTTCATTCGGAGCATGGCGACAGGCAGTTAATCCATGCTTGGCGCAGTTAGCTAATCGGAGTTAACTGGGAACGCAAGTTGTCCAGACCATCGTTGAGCGACGTGTTGTCAGGCCGCGGAACGTTTGTGACCATCTTGTTTTGTTGTTCGCCATGCGCACTGCCACACTCCCTGCGTTTTCATGTGCTTTTGCCTTTCTTGTTTCTCAAGACGGACAGTCCTTGAAGGCCCGCGGCAGTCTAAGCGGTGTAGCACTACTCGAACGGTGAGAATGACGTTAGGCAGTTGATGCGCCATTACCCCGGTGTGTGCGAGGTTACCATGCTAAGGGGGTTTCTGGCGGGCATCACAATATGCATGTGGGCATCCAACGTCACCACTGGAGGACCACTCCGTTCCGTGTCTGAGGAGCTTTCAATCCTGCCATGCGCCCACCCTGCTGCAGTCAACTGCTGGAGGGAATGGGGTGAGGTGGTCCTGGATGGCGAAATGAAAAACGGCAGCCGACACACCCATCAACCCATTCGCAGCGCTGCGGACTCGCCACCTGATGAGAATGAAGTTTATTTTGTTTCTTACGGTTGGCCACCGTGTTCTGTCAATATCAAATACGCTACAGGCTTGGTGGGGCACCTTGAATTCCGACCGGTTTCATTCTGATTCCCCTCACTAGGAGTGGGGCATTGAAGAGCGAAGGCCATGAAGGCCTGGATCCCCCAAACCACCCCGGATGGGCCCATCCTATCCCCATCTGTAAAATTTTTCGTCGTTTATAGACCGTATCAGTGTTTTTTTTTCGTTTGGGGCCTAATACCCTAGAGTAATAAACTGGGTGTTTCTTGCGGTTACAATTCCTTTTTGTGTAGTCGCTGGGGGGGGCTGCGCCCCCCCCAGACCCCCCCCCTGACCCCCCCCTCAAAGGCTGTACGGTGTGCTGTAAACAACACCTGACGTCTGGAAACAAACATGCCGTACCACCATCGTTCTGTGCACCTAACTGCATTTGCGCCAGTGTCTCTGTGAGCAGTGTCTGCGGAGTTTCTGAGCCGTTTGCTTTGGTCAAGAATGAACGAATGCCCCGTTGACCTAAGTTGAATGCAACAGCGGGCCGTCTCATGGTGATATCATCAAATATTTTATATATAAATAGTGTATAAGCTCCAAATGGTCAGCTTTATATGTGCAGAAGGCATTTGGGGCGACTTATGGCCGAAGTAATGAACCAGTACGGCCAACTGACCAATTATTCCATTTCTTCCAGGCTCAGACCCCCATTTATTCCCAAAAAAGTAATATATTACCAAAAAAAAAACACTGGACCGTATGTGTCCTAGTATAACAGATAGATAGAGACGGCTCCTAGTGTGAAGTATGCCCCCTACGTAGGGGTTATCCCCTCATCCTTCTCACCCATGCCGACTTTTGCAAAGTCAGTGACTTTTCGGGTTCAGCACCCACCACCAGCATGCATCCAGTGGATTGTGCCGAATCAAAGGCGACGTCCGCTCCTTCTAGCGACACTTTGCCGCGCGTTAGCATATCTTAACACAATCTATATATAGACGAAAAGCATTTCACGGACGCCCTCCCGTAGATGTATGCTCCTGCCACCGTGCGAACTCATCCGGTGATTCGGTGATTGTGCCGCATGCTGAGTAAGAGTATTGACTATTATTTACAGCGAGCTGTGCTGCTGTCTTCATGATGAACCTCCGTCATTTTGGTTAAGCGAGAATTGTATGTCGGTGCACAACTGCACCCCCACACTGTATGAGAAAAAAATCCAATATGATGTGTGAAACAGGGAGGTATATTTTCGCCCGTGGCAGCTACCCTGCGAAACCCTGCCTTCCCCGGTATTTCGGGGTATCCTCATCCAGTCACATTAGTCAACTTCTCAGTGGATCGCTCAGGTTCCGCACCCACCACCAGCATCCAACGGAATCTGCCGGGTCGACAGCGGCCCAACTCCATCGATCCCGAGATCTCCCGTGGGCAATGGTCGCGCGTTACCAGTAGTGCCAAACCCTAGTACCATTGAACATGCCTTTCCCTATGCCCTATGGCATAAACACTTCGGTTACCGACCATTTTGAACACTACCGGGTTCATTAACCGAACCGAATCGTTAAAGACACATTAACCTGTCAGTTGGGTTAATGGTCAGTTGGGTTACCTGTCTGTTGGGTTACCGGCCACTTGGGTTAATGGTCAGTCAAGCTGGTGATCAGAGTGGCTGCCTTAATCTCAAGGTAAACATGTAGTTACAGCAATCTAACCCTTCTAGGCCATATGTGCACATCTATCACCCCTGCCACCCAGTCATGTTAACTATCTAGGAATCAACACTGCCTGCCACTCAGGCTAAACAGCAGTCTAGGTGTTCATCTCCCAACTGCAGCATCACTACTACAACTATTCAGTCTCCCTAGGCCTGTGATTCATCAATGTTCAATGACATGTCAACTGCCACCCTGCACATGCACACCGTTGTGCACATCATCCCATGACAGTGACCTTAAGGACAAGCTTGTGCACATCACCATCACATGTGTAACCAGGCCTGCTCATCCGTGCAGCTACCTCTGTCTATATATATAGGACACCGTCACATGATAGTGTCCTATGCATGGGATAATGTGTAAGATATATCTGTCACATTATCCCATGCATAGGACAAAATTTTCACCCCCCAGCATTAGCTGCAGCATGTCACGGAACACCAAATATAGTAGTCAAAAAATGCAAACCAGCAGCTGCAGGTCCTAGGACACCAGCACAAATGTACGTACCCATGAATATCAGCCTAATTAGGCTGATATTCAGAATGATCAATCATTCTGAAAGTCTGAAGTACTTAAGTACTTCAGTGTGAAGCTTCACACACCATCAGTCACACACCACCACCAGCAGCAGTTGATGAGGTACACTAGCGACGGCCTCGCACTGTGATTTGGATTCTTGGCCCCTGCTGCTCCATTCTTTTTCACAGCTGCAGCTGCCTCTGCTGCTCCTGCCACACACAGGCCATACACACCATGGTGATACTGGCCAGTATCAATTTGTTGTAATGCAGCCACAGGGGTATACGGCTTTACCTTCTTTGATGGCCCCTTACCGGACTGCCCCACCAAAGGCCTGTTACCACTAGGGTGCTTTACACGTGGTGATGGATGCCTGCGCTTCACTCCCCACCCCTTCCCCTCCAATTCCTCCTCGGACCCATAAGATTCACTCTCCTTCCCCGCTTCCATCTCCACCCCATCCTCCTCCTCCTCCTCCTCCTCCTCATGAGTGGTGCATTCTGGGCTGCTATCTTCACTCTCATAGTCATCCTCGTCCTCTGGCAACTCCAACTGACACTTGCATAAATTGTTTTTGGGTGGAGATACATATCTACACCGGTATACAGGTACTGAATGCTGGCACCGGCGGCTACATTCTGGCAACTGGGCCAGCGTGTTGTCCATCCAATATAGGATTAATCCTGTGACGGTTTCACACCACCTGCCCCTTCATCCCCTTCTGCCACCAGTCCTTGATCAGTTATGGCATCACCCTCCTGAACGGTGTTGACCTCCAGCTGCCCACCTGCAACACGTTGTGCAGCAGTAGTTGAGGTGATGCAGGGTACAGCAGGACAATGTATCTGTAATGAAAGGACACTACTTCACCAAAGCACAGGAAGTAACCTGTATGGGACTGCAAGCGACTATATAGTCGCTATATATATAGCTATATATATACGTTATATAAAACCCTAACGTATATATATATATACTATATATACGTTAGGGTTTTATATAACGTATATATATACTATATATATACTATATATACTATATATACTACGTATATATATAGTATATATATACTATATATACTATATATATACTATACTATACTATACTATATATATACGTATGTATGTTGTTACAGGGTGGTTAACTTCGCCAGCGGCCCCCTTTCCCGGGGCAGTCCCTGCTCTCCCCTGCTAGAGGGGCACCCTAATCCGTCACCCCATCCGACTTCAGAGTGTATTTGTTGGGTTCGGCAACTCACCACCAGCATCCAACCAAATCTAGCGGATCAACGGCGCATCAACTTAGTTCCTGGTCAGCTCGCAAGTTGATATTATCACGTCCTACACCGTCCATATGATGGGGGGCCACCTCCCATTTCATCACTCCTCAAACACCCGAGGAGCTGGCAGGCGGATTTGAACCCGGGTCGACTGGGTCGACTGGGAGCAGAAGTCAGGCCTTAACTTCTGCCAGCCGCCTGCCATGTATATATATACGTATATATATAGTATATATATAGTATATATATATATACTATATATATAATATATATATATATATATATAACCGTACTGATACGATTCTTTGGTGACACGCAATTGGTATGGCGTCCCCAAATGCATAGCAGTGGAAAAAGGTCTTAGGCAAAATTGTATGGGCATCACCAAACTGGCTGTCACAAATGTGTCGTACACCGTGTTAACGGTATCGACCAACAGGAAAAGCCCTCCAGAAGACGCTGTTGGCTTGTAGTTATCTTCGTCTTTTACCCCTAAGTTGACTTTGATAGCAGCTTGGCGGTAGTAGACGCTGAAGCGTAAGCGCGCGAAGCGTGAGCACGCCCGCGGGACGCCCTGGAGCCGTCACCAAAAGTGTATCACAACTGTAGATTTTTCTCGTGACCGTCCCCAAAATTGCATATCATCAAAATAATTTCAGCGTTAATTTTGGGCCTTCCCCAAAACACGTATCACAAAAGAATCGTGGCAGTACGGTATATACTTATCATAATGAATATATATGTATATATATTATATTTATATATATACTTATCATAATGAAGGTGTTGATAAACACAAAGGCAAGCCCCCGGTGTTTATCAACACCTTCATTATGAGTGAGATGAATTCTTTAGTATCCTGGGTATCACAGGCAGGTAAACTTCTCACCAGCATTCATGATCACTTGGCATTGATGCCAGACCCAGTTTGGGGTCCAGCATCTTGAAGAACACAAAGCCTGTCACCAGCAGTGGTATCCTGTCGAGCCTTGCCAGTCTTTGTAGCAGTCGTCTTATTGTGGCCAAAGGCGTCCTTCACCTCCTTCAGAAGTTCATCCGCATTGTAGGCCATTTGGTGTGGAGGGACTGGCGGCAGGCCCATTTGTTGGTGCTTCTGGCCTGTACCAAAAAACGAACAAGGCAAACAAAGAGGGGTATGTGAACGGCAAAATTTACAACCAAGCAGGAGCATGCAGTGATGTAAGATTTTGCACCAATGACAAACACCTACCCTTTTGGCGATTCTGCATGGCATGCCTTATTGTTCCTTTAGCACGTCCATGACTGCTTGAAGAACAACTGGCCGGTCCTTTAGCTCCGACAGCTGAGCAGTACCACCGGTCCTCAGGAAAATTCATGAATGCATTTATGGTTTATGGTGATGCACAACTTAAGTCCCAAAGTTAAGCACCAAGAACATGCACTGACACATGTAGCTAGACCAGAGACCAATGTATGCTGTGCATGCATACATATGTACAGGTGAAAGTGATGGCACCAGACCAGCAGCCCACAGCCGTACCTGCTGCACACACTCTGGGAAAGGTTTTCACCCGTAAATTCATGTTTACCCGTAATCACGTGGTCTTCACATGTAATTACCGGCCAAGAAAATTTGTAAACATGTTTATTTTTAAGTTGCCAAAGCATTCCTTTTATAAGGAAGAACATAGGTGACATTTTGTTGGTTGCCCGTGCTGGAAGTCATCCACAGGTTACATTACCCGTAATCACAAGGTCTTGACCCGTAATCCCCCAAGCCGTAATGCACAGCACCCGTAAAATTTCACGGGCTTAATTGCGACGAAGACGTGTTATGCGCATGCACCATTTTAGGTGTCACGATCCACATGCAGAGGACGCAAGCCCAAATGAACGACCCCGTTCCACTTTTCGCAGTGCCTTCACCTGTCAGCCTCTACCCCAGTCTTAGTACTGAAACACCCATCTAGCATCGGTTGGTCAATGCAACGGCCGAGCTGTATATAGTGCATGCATACATCTGCACCAGGTATGCTGTCAGCTTCCATGGGTCCGCTTCTTTGCACTGACCCAAGCAAGGGCCAGCATTCCCTTCCGCCATTTGGCACTGACCCCTGTCGCGAGGAGACCGTCCAGGCCAGGAACGTCTCCCCGGAGGAGGGCAACCACCATCGCAACCCTTGAAGAGGCAGCCATATAACCGCTCTACAAGCAGTAGGGTACAGAATACGGGGGCCGTGACAAATGGGCCAGTCACTCGAGGGCAATGGGGACCCCGCCTGTACTCAGGGGGGCATGATCAGGCGCATCTCAACTTATATCCCCAGATAGGCCCCCCACCCCGTGCGTATGGCCCTCTACAAGACGGGGGGCCCAGTGAGGTCAGCCGCCAGTAGCTCCTTGTACCCAGGGCGGGAAAACACCTTGGGGTACACAGGGCCGAATATTAGCGAAGCAGCCTCTACCCACAGAAGCCCCTCAATGAGCGTGCCGGTGGGCCACTCACCGTACGGCTTGGGTGCGATAAACACATCTCTGAATCCAGCAAGACCCCACCGCCCGTTGAAAGGGTTGAAAACGACCATGCTCTTCTCGACCTCGTCCGCAGACAAGGTGGGGAGCCGTCTGCGCAACTCCTGCTCCTTTCCCTCATAGGACAGGAGGAAATAGAGCTGGCTTTCCTTGACGCTCCCCCCGTAGGGCAGGGGTGCAAGCAAGGGGACCGCCAGAGGTGCGGGGAAGGGCGGCGCAGGCAAGGGAGGGTGGAGGGGGCGGACAGAGGAGGGTAGCTCGGAGGGTGGGTCGGATGCTGGTGAGGAAGAGGTCCTAGCCGCTGGCGCTGGGGAGGAGTCCAGCTCGGAGGACACAGGCAAATATAGCGAAGCTAGCAGCAGCAACTGTGGCAGTGGCAGCAGCGGCAGTGGTGGAAGCGAGCAGTAACATGGCAGCAGTGATGAGCGCTTGGGGGTGCACGCACCAGGTCGGCCCCAGGCAGGATGGGACAGACCAATCCCGACAGGTGCCGGTACATGTCATGCATCGGGGGTTTCATCCGTAGGAGTAAGCAGTAGGCACGAACTCTGCAAGTGGTGGTGAGACTTCTTGGCGAGCACTTGCTGTATGGGGGGTGACACGAACGCTGTTTTCGAGGACGATGGTTGGGATGAATGCATCAGGCTGTCGGGCTGGCTGGTTGGCGTTGTGAGTCCAAAGCGCCTTGGTCCACAAGCATACTGAGACTTCGGCTACTTTGACAAGGGGTTCGCGTCCATCTTGAGGCTTGCTGCAGTATTCACCAATCGTTAATTTACCACGCAGTAAGCGTCACATCGCAGAGTAATATCTGCCCGTGTAACCCGTGATAACAGGGTCTTCACCTGTAATTGTACGGGTAATTGGTTACATGCGCCCGTAATTGACACGCAGTGCCACGTAATATCCGGCCGTGTAGCAGCCGGTACACAGTACATCGCTATAAATACGCGCAGAGCGCGACTACCGGCATCTTGAGAGGCCTTTTCAGCGGCCAGCTGCTACATCTGGCATCAAGACCTCGTGAGAATTTACGATTTTGAAGTTGTCGGTTCAACCCCCACCGATCACAGTCGAGTGGTACACGGTTGTGGCAACTCAGTGAGCGAATATCGCATAACCTTCATAGTATTCAATTCACCCACGGTGCCGCGTAATATCCACCCGTAATCACTGGGTCTTCACCCGTAATTGTGCGCGTAATTGGTTACATGCGCCCGTAATTCACCTGCAGCACCGCGTAATATCCACCCGTAATTCCGGGGTAGTCGCCCGTAAATGTTCACCCGTATCCTTGTGCTCAAATTACGGGACCCGTAACACGTCTGTCAAATTACGGGTGGATTGACCCAAATTTACGGGTAAAATGACCCCCGTTTTCCCAGATGGACATCTTCAGAAACACAATACACATCAGTGTAATGCACCATTCTCACCCCACACAATAAAAGTTAATATCTTAGCAACAGGATATCAATTCCACAAATATGCTGCGACCCAAAATGTCATACTTCCAAGTGAAAGGATCACTGATGATGATGATATGATGAGACCTAGGCCGATGGGTTCATCTGCATGGCCATGAATTGACCGCGGTCGGCCGACTGGGGCCACAGAGCCCCTCTCATTTGATGGAATCAAAATCACAGTTAACATATATCACGCTATCACTTCATGCTTTTCTCATTCACCAGCATTGTCGGCTACAATCCCGGTACAGGGTACTCGTTGGGAAGGACCAAGGACGGCGGCTGGGGATCAGGGTAGAGTAATGTAGAGGCCGTGCCAAGTGTTCCGATGTTGGCACCATTGGTGATGTGGGTGGTGTGAGCTGAGTCGTCGGCAGTGCCGGCATCGGCATAGGCCTTGGCAACATCGGCGAATGCCTTGGCAACGATTCGCATGGAATCTGCCCTGGACGGGTACTTCTTTGATAATGGTGATGCCGCAGCAGCTGCCGCCACCTCGGCTGCAGCAGCTGCTGCTGCCCCCGTCGCCTCCAGCACCGCAGCATCGCGCAGGTGTGATTCCGAAGGGGGCGGCGGTAGCACCAACCAATCTCCCTTGAAGCTATTCGATGGTGATAGTGCATGTAATTGCTGCCAGCTGTCCTGGTATATGGGCGGCGGCATTACTGTGTTCGAAATCCATGGCGGCAGCAGCAGTTCAAGTGCTAATGTTCGGCTGCTCTTCAGCGACAATGTAGACCCTAATAGTGGCGCCAGTGTGTCCGGCCGATCAGATGCCTGTTGCTGTGTTGGCTCTGACCGGTTAAGTAAGCTGCCATGCTTAGCAAATCCCGACATCTGCATCGGTGCCGCTGAGGGTGCCGCTGAGGGTGACGTCGGCCGCGCCCAATCACCTCCAGCTGGCTGCCCCGGCCGTGGTAGGGCCCATCTCTTCCCCCGTGGTGCATGCAGCGACTGTTGCTGCTGTAAAGATAGTTGCGAGGTTGTGTTGGGCTGTACAGATGATGTTGAGAGCGGCTGGTGGCCCCAACTAACAGTACGAGATGGTGGTGGTGCTGCCATAGACCATTCACCCATGCGGGATCGCTGTGGCAGCCTGGATGTGAAACTGGGTCGCGCCATTAAGCTTGGTTGCGGCTGTAAAAGTGGCAATGATAGGTGAGGATGCAGTGGTGGCAGTCGAACTCCAAGCAACCCTGCCTGTGTTGGTGGCGGCAATAGCATCCAAGTGCCAGAGCTTTGGCGGCTTGGTGTTGATGGCAGACCTTCAGTTCCATGTTGCGACTGCTGGTCGTCCTCCTGTGGCTGTTGCTGCCCTTGCTGTGGCCAGGTGGAGTTTACTGGTCTTACCTCCTGCGGTGGTGTGTACCCAATTAATGGGGCCATCAGTGGTGGTCGCACCAGTGGTTTGTTGCCTGTCACCAGTGGCTGCATCCCAGCCATCCCAACCCGCTGAGAAAGCATCTGCGTGTATGGTGGCACTATCGCTGTTGTGGTGACAGCCCCACTGCCTGCTGGCAGGGCCTCGGTGACACCACTGCCTGCTGCTGGGGCCTCGGTTACACTGCTATCCAGCAGGGCTGCAGTTACACTGCCTGCCGGTGTGGCTGCAGCAATACTGCCAACTGATGGGTCTGCAGTGGCACTGCCTGCTGGCATGGCCATGGTAGCCGTGCCTCCTGGCCGGGCATCGCCTACTTTGCCTACTGGTGAGGCCATGGTAACGCTGCCTGCTGGTGGGGCCTCAGCGACGCCACCTGCTGGCGGGGCCTCAGCGACGCCACCTGCTGGCGGGGCCTCAGCGACGTCACCTGCTGGCGGAGCCTCAGCGACGCCACCTGCTGGCGGGGCCTCAGCGATGCCACCTGCTGGCGGGGCCTCGGTTACAGCAGAAGTGCCTGCCGTAGTGATGCTGCCTGCTGGCAGAGTCTCTGTAATGCCGCCTGCTGGCAGGACCTCTGCACTACTTAATTTGCTGACCCCAGGTTCTGCGATAGGCTCTGTGGCAAAATCAGTAGTGGAGGCGTCATTACCATTGTTGCTTGAAGTGATGCGCCGTTTTGACAGTTTGCTGCTGGTATTCACCTCATGTGTACTCAACGGTTGTGGCATGGACAATCGTTGCTCAGGCATGACTGGCCCAGCACCAACCCATGGGTCAGTTTCCACCATGGTCACGCCGCGATCGTTGTCGGGTGCAGCATCACCAGGTGTAGCAAGAGGAGGGGGCATTTCGTTGGTAAGTTGTGGTAAGCCGAGCGGAACCTGCTGGAATGTTCTGCTCCGAGCATCGTTGGTGCCACCGCTACGTTTGCTGGCGCTAGGATTCGTGTCTCGTATCAACACCTCAGAACCAGGGCAGGTAGATGCCCTCAGCGATGATGACCCACATGACGATGATGGGGCTCCCAGTAACAGCACCATACGCGGCAGCTTGCCGGCACCATCAGCGGTACTGCAGGTAAGCATTGAAAGAACTTTATCATGCACCTGTTGCATCTGCTGCTGCTGTAGCCACACATGGCTTTGCCAGCGAACCACACCAGCCTGCCAGTACTCCATGGCGCGTATCGACTCCCACAATGCTGCATAAATGGCGAATTCAGACACATCATCCTCTTCCATCATCGTTGTAGTAGCGGTACCACCAGCTCCTGTACCTATGCCACTGCCGTTGCTGATAACAATGCTTGCAGCCACGTCATTAGTGATGGTGGAGTGGGCCTCACTGAAGTCCGCTTCTGAACCATCGCCGCCACCTCCTTGCCGGATAAGGACCCTGCCGCTGCTGCCGCAACCGCTGCTAAGACCCAGCAGCTTGTCGCTGGTGGAATCACAAGCATTGTGCAGACACTGCTCTGCACCAGTGCTCATGCGGTGGATTTGGCTGGTTCCTGTTTGACTCGCACAGCCACTCTGCTGACCTGTCAAGTTGCTGAGCTGCCTGAACTGTCCCTGGGGCCAATGTGATTGTCGTTTCCCTGCCGACTGACTGAGCCGCTGGCCTCGATCCACTTGGCTCAAACCGGATCGTTGCCCCAAGCCTGTCTGGTAGCTTACCAGACGACTCACCGCGGTAAGACTGTACCGCTGGCCCACCAACTGGCCAACCGGAGCTGAGGGTCCACTACTCCAAAGCACACGGCGCTGCACAATGCGTGACCTGGTTCCCCCGCTCGCCACATTGCTGCTGACACTGGTGACAGGGCCACTGGTGTTGGCATCGGTATCCAGCGTGGGATTGAATCTCACCACCGGCGTCATGACGACGGGTTTCCCGATGGGTACAGGCCGGTACTTGGAACAGGCGAACTCTCGTCCCCCTTCCCGTCCAAACCTCGAGTGTCCCAGGTACTCGAAGCGCCGATGTCCTTGGTAATCCAAGATACGTTGCGCTATCAATCCACACAAATTGTTCAGTTGCTCGTCCCCCAGCATCCAATCGTTATTCGAGACCTGCACGGTATGTTGAGGGTCAAGTTATTCCTAGGTCGTGGTCATCCAGGGGTCTGTCAAAGACAGTGAAGGGGACACGGGCGACCAGCAAACCAAAATCCTTTGCCATTAAGGACAATATCAGGCGTTTTGTACTGACCCGTGCAGCCGATTCCTCGTGCACTTATCTAAGGCCTTGCAGTCGCCCCGGCCTGGTTAACTCAACACGTCACGTTCTATTAAGATAATGTGATCAAGTGGCCCAGACGCCGCCCACTCTGTAACAACAACAACAACATGCTATTAGCTCCTAGGAGCTCTTTTCCAGAAGGGACAGCTTTCGCACCTGTGACCGGTTGAGACGATGTGAGCTAAAAGATATGAGCAGTTGGTTCAGCTCAAGCTGCCTGCGGGAGGACCTGGAAGCGGATGTGCTGGAGGAGGGAAGGGCAGAGGCAACACCTTGGGCAGTATGCCACATGCCATGTCGCCTTTGGCCATGGAGGTGCGTGTGGCTCAGGTTCTGGCTTTCACTCCCGCTCTTGCCTTGGCCACGGGTCTGGACCCCGGACCTATTCGGTTGATCTCCCCCTTGTCGGTCCTCCCAACACGCAGCCTCCTCTGCATCACCACTGCTTCCGGCACTCCAACATCCTCCATTTCCAGTGCCACTGCCGCAACTACCGCGGTTAGGCCAGCAGCCATACTTGTCAGTCTTCAACACGCCCCAGCAGCCGCGGCCAGGGGAGCCATTGCAATCGGAGTTGGCGTTGCTGACACCAGCGGTGCTACCAAAACTGGGACCGGTACCTTCCCCTTCACTTTTCTGCCCGTTCCTGGCAGCGTCCCCTTCCCCGCCGTCGCGGCTGGTAATGATGCCGGCGGCAGCGGCGCTATCGCTGCCGGGATCTGGCGACTCAGCCCCAGTCGTGGCGGCTCCACTTTCAGTGGCTTCAGCAATGGCGGCTGCAATACGGCTACTCGTGACAGCTGTGGGATCGTCTGCAGTCGCCCGTCGTGCAGCAGTCTCCAGCATCTGTCGTACCCCCTCAAGGTCCAGGTAAGCTTTACCGCCCGTTGGCGACGGAAAGAGTACGACGCGAATAGGTTTCCAGTTCTGCGGCCGTACATCGACGCCAGCCAGGGCTCCGTCTCGTACTACGCGATGAAGCTGCCGATTAGTTAATGGTGGTTGGCCGTCACGATAAGTATGTCCGCGCAACAGCTTGCGCGACCAGCGGTGCATGGCAGAGGCCGTGTCTGGCAGTACGACAAGGCAGATGTCCTCCCAAATTGTTGTACCATACAAAAACTTCCAATGGTTTCTGAGTTTTCCGAAGGTGAAGGCCAGTAGGGTATAGAAAAAGTTGACAAGCACAAGGGACACAAGCAACACTTGAGACATGATTACCAAAGCAATGCCCAAGTACTAAAGCGGATTGCCGTACCGTTTACCATAGACGCCAAGCCGCCAGGTTCAGCCATCCGAAGGGGAGCATGGCCAGAGTCGTTGGGTGGACAGGAAAAGAGGGCAGTTGGGCAAGGCAGGGCGCATTGTGAGCATAAGTTTGGAATCCTCATTCTCGCGCAAGTCCAACTAACACATGCAACGCAAGCCACAGTACTCCCGCGCAACACGCTACAGCAGTCAATGTTTTCATAAATTTTTAACACTTGCAGCCACATTAACAAACTGAGGAACATGCTGCCGATATGATGCAGGGCAAAGGCGAAAGCCAAGACGAAGAAAAACGGAATGAGCCGAGAAGGAACGCATGGGGGAATAGGAGGACAAGGAACGGGCTGGCCGACACAAGAAACAGACACCGTAAAGATTACCCACAAGCCAGCCACGCTGAAACCAGTCACACGGTGGCCCGCCAGCCAGCATGAAACGGCGGCATTCCTTTGAATATGAACAGGTTATTAAACACATATAAGCACCTGATGATATCCCCAAAGCCCGTGACCCTACGCACATGCTGTAGCCCGGGGCCTGCCTAGCAGGACGGGTTCGGGGTAAAAGATAGGCCGGCGTGTATATGGATATGGCGGGCATGCATGTGTACGGATCCACAGATTCCGAGAAGCTGCCGGCCTTGCAACCCAATTGGGTACTATCCCACCACGTCCGCCACACAAGCCCCAAAGAATCAACAACACATCCCATGACCCAACATTACACCAAAACCCTGCACCAACCTGCACCGTTGTGAACTCCATATTCCGGGGCACGATGGTATCAAGGTTACGCAGGATGGACCGGCCCACCAGGAGCCCAAGAGTGTCGCTCAGGGCGCCATCCAGGTTGCTCATTTCCTCGACGTGGATACCAAGCTGACACACTTCCATGACCGAAAACATGACGGCAATGAGCAGCAGTATGATCACCAAGTGTAGTACGGCAGGTACAGCGTTGAATAGCGTTCGTACCATGATGCCGACGCGACCTTGAAAAGCCAGTGTGGACAGAAGCCTGGTCAAGTATGTAGGAGAAGGAAGTAGGAGACAAGGTTGGGATGTTAAAAAATGACGGAAAATTACCAGACACTTCACCACACGCGGACACGGAAAAAATAAAAAAACCAAATCAAATCCAAGCCCGACAACCCGGCGGATGGGTATGTATGTTGTTACAGGGTGGTTAACTTCGCCAGCGGCCCCCTTTCCCGGGGCAGTCCCTGCTCTCCCCTGCTAGAGGGGCACCCTAATCCGTCACCCCATCCGACTTCAGAATGTATTCGTTGGGTTCGGCAACTCACCACCAGCATCCAACCAAATCTAGCGGATCAACGGCGCATCAACTTAGTTCCTGGTCAGCTCGCAAGTTGATATTATCACGTCCTACACCGTCCATAAGATGGGGGGCCACCTCCCATTTCATCACTCCTCAAACACCCGAGGAGCCGGCAGGCGAATTTGAACCCGGGTCGACTGGGTCGACTGGGAGCAGAAGTCAGGCCTTAACCTCTGCCAGCCTGCCTATGGGTATGTCAGCGCCATCTAACTGTGCCTCCTTCCTGTGTGGCGCTGCAGCTCCCTTATTCACCCTTACTTGGCAAGGTAAACCTTTCCTCTTGAGACACACGCAGTCGCCAACCTTTTCTGCTTCTCATGCACCCGGACAACGCACACACCTGCCGAATAGCAGCACCAACGTCATTGCCTGGATCATGCCGTAAATTGTCCACATGCGGGATAGTCCGTCCGCGTTCACAAGGACCTCCGCCAGTGCCTCCCAGTCTGCAGTCCCTGCGGGGTCATCTGGCAGCAGGTACCTGCCCGGGGTGCTGGAACTCGAGGGCAGTGACAGCCCCAGCGAGTCCAGGGACACCTGAAGCAACAAGAGGTCATAGCGCAGTGCAGGACAGCGTGTGATGCGGGTGGGAAGGAAGCAAAAGGCAAAGACGTGTGGGCCAGCATAACGAAATGAAGGGAAATCGGTTGACAGAGGCTGTTACCATTGAGAGCCAACGGTCGAGAAGTCAGGCATCCGTACCCTGTAGCGTGTACCCCTTTGCTCCAGCACAACGTATTAGCACCCGCTTCCACACTGTAGTAGCTTTGCCGCTGAAAAAACCTCTCGAGATGCTGGGAACATGCTCTAGCGTATGTATGTATAACTGGTTTGTGCCGTACTGTCTGCGACAGCTACTACACGTACCTTGAGCTCTGCGCTCTGCCTGGGCTGTAGCACATCCGGATTTGTCTTGAGCGGCAGTAGCCAGCGTGCCCGGGCGCCCTCTATGTCGTCGTACACCCGGTAGTGCTGACGCGCTGAGAATACGGCAGCCTTCTGTACCATAAATGCCGTATATACAGCGCACGCCGTCACCAGCATCACACAGACCATCAGATCCACGATGAGGTTGCCGAAGCGGTGCCATTTCTGTTCACATGAGAATTGGAGCGGCGGGCGCTTAAATGAGCTGGGTTTTGGCTAGCTGATTGTGGGCTCCTAGGGGTTTGCTGATCCAAACGATTTGGCACAAAAATGTTTCCTTTGATGTGGCCTGGTAGTACCTTAAAGCCATCATATGCTTTTTGCTCGTTTTGTGTTCAGGACTTTTAGGCCCGGACTTGTCTGTGTTTCGTGGGCCAAAAACTTTACATCATTTGAGAGCTGGTGTGCGCTGCCTTTGGTGTGCGTTGCCTTTGGGATGGCTTGTTTTAAACTGAAGGCGTTTTTCAGTGGGCGTGTGTTGGGATGGGTCCACCTGGCGGCGTTCACTCCCATCCTGCAAAACTCTACTCCTAAGCGGCACACCGTCTGCCCATGTACTTCCCCTCCCTACGTTACGTTACGTTGTCTCGAGGATTCGGTGTAAGCCCCACCCGACTAAAGCTCCAGTCCGCCCCACACCGGTATGAGATACTTTCGTCAGGTCGCCGCTATATAGATTCGAAGTCGTCTGAGCCCACCAAGGAGGTTCATGTTGCACCCACCCCGCCATGGTGACACACCTGTTGCGAGTTGAGATCACTGCTGCGCCATGCTGCTGCCGCCCTTGCGGTTTGCATCGCCACAACCACCACAAACACCATCGTCAGCACCCACAATGCCGCCAAGTCATGTCCAGCCACTGGTCCCAATACCTCCGCCACTATGATGTTCGATGATGATGATGATGATGATGATGATGATGATGATGATGATGATGATGATGATGATGATGATGATGATGATGATGATGATGATGATGATGATGATGATGATGATGATGATGATGATGATGATGATGATGATGATGATGATGATGATGATGATGATGATGATGATGATGATGATGATGATGATGATGATGATGATGATGATGATGATGATGATGACGATGATGATGATGATGATGATGATAATGATGTTGATGTTGATGATGACGACGACGTTGAGGAGGAAGTGGCGTCCGACCTCCCTAGGTATGTCAGCGCTGGCAAGCCCGTGAAAGTGAACGACAGCTCTATACCGCCGTACGCACGCCACAGAAAGGACATCTTGACGTAGCCCAGCACTCTGTGATGATAGCTGAAGACCAGGAACTCAACGGTAAGTGAACGGGTGAGGTGGTCAAGGTAGTTGGAGTCCTGCGAAATGCAAGGTGAGGGCAGGTGTAAGTAGCAAGATTTGGGCAAAAGGGTGCAAGCACCGGGCTCAACAGTTGTAGTAGGGGGGGAGGAAAGCTGTACAGGAGGTGGCGGTTGCACGTGCGTCTGTGGTGGCACAATGGTGTATCCTGGGATTCTGGCATCCGCCGATCGGTACTCTTTTGAAGTCGAGATACAACACACAAGCAGCAGGCATGCTTCATTTCTGAGACACCGGTACCAAAGCCTGCGATGGGGCCGAGAGGAAATGGTGGAGCTGTCCAAATGAACCAAGTGAAAGACTATCTGAGAAACGCAAAGCCTAACCTGGCTAGCTGCAGGCTTTGCCACGGGTGAGTGCTGGGTAATGTATTGGTGGTGGTGGTATTGGTATGGGTGGTGGTGCTGCTGCTAGCGCTGGTGCTGGGAAGCTAGGGCTTTCGACCGGGGTGTATGGGCACGTTAAAACCGTGCTCCTTGTTGAGGAGCCGAAATGCAAATCCTCGAACACCCCGGCAAAAGGAAAAAGGAACGTCTCTTCTGGGACCCGAGACTGGGCGTGTGTTAATGGGGCTACTGGCCATGGAGATGTAACAACGGAGTTGGAAAG